CTACCGCCGCCCAACCGGCCTCAGAAGGTCCCCTCAGCTGAGACCTGCGGAGACCTCTCCTCCGGCGCGGCGCTGCCCTCCACCTCGCTCCACCGTCCGGCCAGGGCCGGCTGGGACGTAGCTCCCCAGGGGCTCCGGGTACTGCGGGCCCTTCGGCCGGGTCGCAGCCCTTCGGTGGTAGGGCCACAACTAGGGTCTATCTCGGCCTCTGGCACTGTAGGGATGCTGCTGCCTGGGGCCCTGGGATGTCCCCCAGGGGGGTTTTGTAAAGAGGCCCCCAAAGAAGAGCCCTGTGTGTAACAAGTGCTCAGAGAATTGAGTCTGACTGAATAAAGGTGCGATGGCAGCTTTGCATTCCGTGGGCCAAATCGGGCCAATAAAAATAGCAAACCACATATATCATTTTATATTGTCCAGTAGCTACTAAAGTAATAAAACAGGTTAATTTTGATATATTTTCTATTAACTATTATGTCAAAAATAACAATCAGTAAATTATTGATAAAATATCTGAAATTCTACTTTTTTATATACAGTTGGTATATATCTAACAACACCCACAGTTCCAGCCATTCAAGTGCTCATTGGCCTCCTTTAGCTGGTGGATAGACACCTTACTTATTTTGGGGGGACGCTGGGGACTGAGTCCATGGGCATCACACATGCTAAGCTGGCTCTCTACCATTGAGTTACACTCCCGGTCCCTAGTATTTGCAATAGGATTTCTTGTCTATTTGAGCTGTTGCCAGAACATAATGTCAAAATCACCAATATTCTTTGAAGCCTTCCAGCCCTCCTGTTTTGTAAGAAGGTACAGTGTATCTGGCAACAAAAAGCACAAGGAAGTATGGTGCTGTTCTTCAAGGAGCTTCCAGTGCAGTTGAAGAGAAAAATAGATGTCCAAAGATTAAGTAGTATTTTAAATGGATGTAATTCAGGCAGTAGTAAAGATAACTAGGAATAGGTGCTGGAAATGTAGTGTATGCACCAAAAAACAAAAGAGAGAGAACTGGGAGTATATGACTGAATGACAGTGAACTGGCTGATAAGTACACTTAGGAATTTGAGGGAAGGATATTTCAGATGCAGTAGAGTTGAGCCTGATCTTGAAAGATGGATAAGTCTGGGAATGGATAAGTGGGAAAGATGAAGATGGTGTTTTAATTGGTTGGAACTGAATATAACTTCTTTTGTTTTTAGGGGTGAAGTTTTGGTGAATCCAGGAGCTTTCAGACTGGAAAGGCCTTCCTTTCCCCTGGTAGTCTCCACCATGATCCACAGTCTCTTCCTCATCAACTCCTCTGGTGACATTTTCCTGGAGAAACACTGGAAGAGTGTTGTCAGTCGTTCTGTTTGTGATTACTTTTTTGAGGCTCAGGAGAGAGCCACCGAAGCAGAAAATGTGCCTCCAGTTATTCCCACCCCTCACCACTACCTCCTAAGTGTTTACCGCCATAAGATCTTTTTCGTGGCTGTGATCCAAACGGAGGTCCCGCCTCTGTTTGTCATCGAGTTCCTTCACCGAGTAGTGGACACGTTTCAGGTTTGTGAATGTGGGGAGGTTCATGTGTGCAAACTGTGATGTATCTGTGTAGTCCTGTTTCCATTGTATTCAATCTCAGTTAAGACAGTATTTAAAAATCAAAACTCTGGTATTGCTCACTTCCTCTCCCATCTAGATTTCTTTTTTAAAATCTATTTATTTTTTAGTTTTGAACTAAAGCTTGAACCTGGAATTTTTGCGCCAAGCAATAGCTCCAGACCTTTTCCTTTTTTTCAGACAGGATTTTATTACATCATCTGGGCTGTGGGCTTGAATCTGTGATTGTCTTGCTTCAACCTTCTGGGATATTGGAATTATTGGCATGCGCCACCACTCCTGTCTCTTATTCTTCATTGAATAGGCTGTATCAAAGATGACAAAGTGAATATTTTTTAATCTCTCGCAGGATAAACCCACCGTGCTTGGTTTGACTGTGTAAATCATAACAGTATTTTTAGTTTGAATTCTACATTTTTCTCACAGATTAGACTTGATGCTAACCATTGTTAATGTTGCTCCGAGTTAAATGAAAAAGTGATAGATGTATAGTTTTAGAAAGTAGAAAAAACCAAGTAATGTTTGACTGTCCCTGGTAAGTGTGAACCCGTACTTCATCTTTGGTTTAGGGTAGTTGTCCATAGCATGTGAGCCCTAGTGGTGAGCTTTTGTTCCAAATTTAAAATAGGGAAATATTGTGTACCAAGACACATTTTGTGAGGTATGATTTTCATTGTACTTGAAGATGTTGGGGGAATGGGTTAGAGGGCAGGTAAGTTACTCTCGAGAGCACCAATTATACCACAGGATTTTAGACTGCCCAGCCTCTGGATTCAGGCAGTAGATCCTCTCCAGTAGAATTGCACAAATTCTGCTGTGGTTATTTGCATAACTTAGAAGTAAGGGTCTTTTGGTTTAACTTCTGTGTCATGTGAGATCTGGAGTTAATCACGTGTGGGAATTGTGGAACTGGAGGAAAGAATAAGGACCCAGACATTATAAAAATTCAAAAGCAAGTCAAGGAGTCCTTTCATTTACAGTCAGTTCTGTGTCACATATCTGCTGCTGCTTTTTTCCCCCAACTTTTATGTGCTGTGATCCTACCAGTACTGTGATAGCAGTAGTACTGTGCGATGCTAATTTTCATGTAGTGAGGTAGCTCCTTTACACAGTAAAGGTGCCAGCAGGGTGTTCAGCTCCAAGCTCACTAGAGTGCTACCTGGTGTGAGACCAACCCTGGGGCGATCCTTAGTCTTATATAAACCAAGCAAACAAAGACAAGGGTTACAGGCCTCGTTATGTGATGGAAGTAGAAATAGAAGAGCCCATGCTTTTGAACCACTCTTAACAGGTATTGTTTATGATTTCCACATCAGCAGTGTTGCTGGTGAAATTCAACAGCTGCTTCATCTGCTGGTACCACTGTTACGTAACCGTTACGGGACAGGCAGTGAGGAGAGAGGTTTAATCCATTTGAAACCATAACGGAACTTGGGCAAACAGAGTACATTTGCTAATTTGAAAGACTAGGACTTCACACTTTGTTGTTTTTGAAGCAGTCCCTAAAAATAAGTAAATGTCTGATCCTGATTTAAATGCCTTATTTTGATGTTCAGCCATTCCAGCACCACTATTTTTCTAGCACTAGAATATGATGAAAAGGGCTTAAAGAATAGCAAGTAGTTTTGCAATAGCACCTTGTCATATTGCAAGACTCCTTTTCAGCTGCTTCTGTTTTGTTGCTTCTGGTTTGTATGACCTAACGGAATGTTTTTTTTCTTTTTTAAATAAAATCACTCTTGAGAAGAAAATATAGTGACATTCCCTCCCCCCGCCAATCCTTATTTTTTGTTTTAGGAACATATTCCTAACTCCTGAGTGATTTGGGTGTTTGAATTTCACTGGTAATTGACATTATCTGATATAATTTAGATTGCATCTAGTAGTCTTTTTAATTTGGGTGTCAGAAAAATTGCAAAATGATAACATAGTCTGAAAACTGTACCACAGTGTTGAACAGTGGGAGTTTGTCCCTGGAAAGGAAAAAAAAAAGGTGAAAGTTTATTTTACATAATGATAGGACTAATGTGTAAAATTTCTCTGGACAGCAGCTAGGAGGCAGATTTCAGTTTAGCAAAAGAAAGAACTTCCTAATGACCAGAGCTCTCCATGAGAAGGTGAATATGAGAAGGGGTAATTTGCCTTCATTAGACAAATTCCAGAAGGGCTGCATGACCCTCTCGGAGACCCTGTAAAGGATGGGACTGAGATTTCTAGAAGGAGGTACAAATAGCAGATATTTCCTCCTAGGTCAGCATCCATTCTGTTTCACACGGTGCTTTGGGGTGTGCAGAACACTTTGCCATGCTTCTTCATTCAATCAGTCGTCCTCAGTCCTTAAAACTTCCCTGCGCATCCAAACGGTGTCATCTGGATTAAAGAAGCCAAGGCCCCTATTAACATGACTTAATCCAGTAAGTGACAGTTGAAATTGTAACCCAGGTCTTGTGATTGTGGCATCCAGTGTAGCTTCTCCCAAACCCAGATAAGTCAGTATCTGAGTTTATCCTTTTTACTTTTTTAAATTTGAGATGGAGTTGCCCATGCTGAGGGATTGTCCATGCTCATTGCTGTCGCTCATCCTGGCCTGAAAACTCCTGAGCTTAAGTGATCTTCCTGCCTCAGCCTCCTAAGTGCTGGGACTCCAGGCATGTGGCATTGTGCCCAGCCAGGTTAGCCTCTGTGGGGACAGGCAGAGCGTCCTTAGAATCCTAGCATGAAGGAGACGCTGAGAGGTTTTCTGTCATGCTGGCTCCCCCCGCATTTCATTTTCCCTTAACTCTTACTGCGCAAGTGTTAAGAAATAGCACAAGAGGAAGGATTTAAAAAGATTTTCACATACAATTTTTTTATGTCACATCTAGCATTATAATTTTGTGTAATTCTTTTAAACTCATGTTCCTAAACAAAGATAACCTAGATTCAGTTTTGTTTGCTGTGTATTTTATCGAGTTGAAGAAACTAACCAGAGGTCGGCTGCTTCCTCACTCCCGGAAGAAGCCCCTGATGACAGATGACACTGGTACCCTGCGCCGGGCTGCCGAGGAGGGCCTGTCTCTGCTCTGGTCCCTCGCTGTAAGCCAGTGGCCCAGAACTGTTAAGGAAACAGGGTCAGATCCTTTGTAGGTAGGAACATACTTTTTTTTTTTCAGGCTCTGAGTAATAAATATTTATGTCTTCATCTCAGGATTATTTTGGAGTGTGTTCAGAGCCAGTGATCAAAGACAATGTGGTTGTGGTGTATGAGGTACTGGAAGAAATGCTTGACAATGGGTTTCCCTTGGCTACTGAGTCAAACATTCTCAAGGAACTGATAAAGCCACCCACTATCCTTCGGACGGTTGTCAACACCATAACAGGTATGGCGCCGGGGACCACCCACCGCTGCCCCTCCTGTGTCTTCGTCGGGTGCGTGTGTCGTGTTGAGTGATTGGAATCTTGAGTTACATGTTTGATTTTGCTCATTATGGTATCTGAGTGTCATCATAAATTCCATGTATATTTTGTGTAGAGCATACCCCGTTTTCAGTGACAAGGCAAAGTGTTCGCGGGCTGGGGCGCGGCTCAGTGATAAGAGGGCTTGGCTAGACTGTGAGGCCGTGGGTTCCATCCTCAGCACAGCCAAAAGGGAAGTCATCTTCTTTACGATACTTTTTTTTTTTTTCCGCAAAGAAGTGTTCTTCTGACAAATTTTTTTTCTGATTACAGAAGATGGGATTATCATAGAAACTTTAGAAATACAGAAAAATACAAAAGAACATGCAAATCTTTTAATGCATTCACAACCAGGCCACAATTGTTGTCTCGCTGCCGAGCACCTCTGACCACTGTGGTATACACGTGACCGTCCCGCAGCGTGGCCTGTGCCCTTACACTGCCCGGCTGCCTGGCGGGGAGTCTGCGTCTACCATTGGGGTCAGGCTGGCGAGAACTTGTTAATCCCACACTCTGAGCCTGCTGCTGTGTGTATTTCCTATCTTTTCTCAATAGTTGAAAGGTGGACGTACAGAATGTTTTAAGACAGAACTGTTACATATTTTAAAATTTCTATTTTACCATTATTTTATGAACATATTATATTCTGTATCATTTTTAATGCCTTTGTAGTTTCTACGTGAAAAACTACAGTTTTTTACTCATTTCACGTTTATGATGATGCTTTTTTGTTGTTTTATATAACAAGAGAGTAACATTCGTATTTTGAGACAAGGTCTGGCTAAATTACCCAATCAAGCCTTGCATCTGCAATCCTCCTGCTTCAGCCTCCTGAGTAGCTAGAACTGTAGGTGCTACACTGTGCCCAGCTAGGATCATCATTATGGTTTTATTTATTTTGTGGTACTGAGGATTGATCCCAAGAGAACTCTTCGAGAGTTCTTCCAGAGAACGCTGTATCTCCAGCCCTTTTTATTTTTCATTTGAGACAGGGTCTTGCTAAGTCTCTCAAGTTGGGTTCAAATTTTCAACCCTCCTGCCTCAGCCTCTGAAGCACTGGGGTTGCAGGCATAGTTCACCGCATCTATATCTTTGTGTACATCTAGCAAGGATTCTGTTCAGTACTGAATGCAGAAATACTGAGTCAAGGAATGTGTACATTTTAGGAACTGTTAGGCATTGTGCTACATTGCCCTCCAGAAAAAGTTAATCCCAGTTTATGCTTTCAGTAGAAGTTCCTGTGCATTGTAGTCGACCCTACTGTTAGTAACTTTTAGGAATTTTGGCAGTTTGATAGTTTGTTGATCTTGTTATCTACACTGTTTTTGTTACTGTAGAGGTCAAAACCTGTTCAAATGTTTATTGATCTCTCTGTTGTGAATTACTTTTTCATGTCCTTTGCCTATATTTTTGGTAGTTGAGATGTTTTTCTTGTTTCATAGTGATATAAAAGCATTCATTTAATGACATATTCCAATATTATAGTTTATTGGAGTTTCTATATAGTCTAAATATTTCATTGCAGATACAGTCTCATAATCTGTCACTTGTTTTGTTGTTGTTGTTTTTTTGTTTGTGTTGTTGTTTGTTTGTTTGGTACCGGGGATCCAACTTGGGCCACTGAGCTAAATCCCCGGCCCTGTCACCTTTTGTTTAACATTGTTCGTGGTGTGTTAGTCATGCTTTAAATATTTTGAGTTTGTCAAATTAATCATTATTTCATTAAGGTTTTAACATTTTGGGTCTTGTGTGTTTCATGGAATTTGATAAGTCAACTAATTGAAAAATAAACTTTCAAAAGTAAATTTTGAAAACAGTTGGAAAGGAGTTGGAAGGATTTACCATCATGACATATTAAGTTCATATTGTACACAAGACAAAAATTCATAGAGTGACTATGCTATAACAGCCAAGACAGTTTTGTAAATAATTTTTTTAAAAAGTGAGTAAGAAAAAAATGTATCTTACAAGTACAGGATATATTAAGAAGTTTTGATAATTAAAAAAAAAAAACTGCATTGGCCCAGTAACAGATTTGGTGTGTTTTGCAATATTCTGTGTTTATTTTAAGCCTTAAAAGATTTGTGGTGTGGTGAGTCATTATGTATATTATGGCATTATTTAAGTCTTTATCTCACTTAAATCTAGGAAAAAGTATCTGAAAACTCCTTGTGAATAACTAAATGTTTTCTAAACATGCTTAATAAATACATGCCTAATGTTTCTTTAGAGCAAAAAGACCCAGTCAATGGAAAGAGGAAATAGAATTTAAGTTATAATTATTATTTTAGTATAAAACCTTGAATTAAACACTTTTGATGCTTGTGGGAGGAAAACAGGTTGAGTTGATCTGCAACCCTAAGGATGGAAATGTTGCATCTGGGGGACAAGCACCTCTGCTCTGCTGTCCAAGCAGCCCACTGGGACCATAAACTCAGTCAGCCCCAGTGAAAAATTGGAGGACAAAGTTTAATGGACGGCGGACACTCTCTGTGTACAGAGGAAACAGAAGGACAGGGGAGCGGAGATGATAGATAGCTACCTGATAATAGGATGATAGGATAGAGAGATGGAGGACCTGTGGGCCCTTTGTCCCCAGCTGCTTTTATAGGGGAGTAACTGACACTGCCCCCCGACCCCGAATTTGTCGTAACTGGATTGGCTTCCGGGCATCTGTAACATAGTGGTCTACATACAGCTTCTTTTTATTTATTTGTTTACTTGTCCTTGATCTACCTTTTAAGGCCTTATCTTTGGGGTGGGCAGCTAGCTGGCAGTGGGATGCCTTCTTATGATTAGCTTAGAGTTAGTATGGGGGTGTGTGGATTTCTGTTGTATTCTATTATGACCCTAGAATCAATACACTAGAGTGACCCTAGAGGGAATGCACCTGTATCTAAATACGTGTGTCAGTGCATAAGTGTAAGTACACACCGCCTTAGGGTTAGTCAGCCTCCCCCCTTCCCCTGTGTTCTGTTGGAGGTGGGTGGCTTATGATTTGTGTCCTTCCTGTCAGCTCTTTTTCTGGTCTCTTGGTATAAGTCCCAAGGCCGTTTGGTACCTTTAATTGATTTTTTTTCTTCTTCTTCTACTCATGTTTGACTTGCTTCCCAAGGGAATCTCTCTAGTAAAGTTTGTTTTTAACTTCTATTCAGGATTAGCTAGAAGACCCTATTTTATTTTCTCGTCTACGGACTCTGTCCCTACAGAAGGGTATAATCTATATTCTTTGCCTAAACTTCAGTATTGGTATGAGCCAGATCCTGTCGATGTGTACATCTTAATACCCACCATTAATGTACCTAAGAACCTCTCCCAAACTAGAATATGTTTTTTACCCATGAAAATGTTATATCAATATGTAGATTACTAACCCTTCTGAAAGCCAGTACATTATTTAAGCTGCAAGCTATTGTGATACTTGAGACCTAATCTCATGTTACTTTCAAAATCAAAATATGCTATCTGTTTCTCAGGTAACTTTTTAAAAGCCTTTATTCTGTTTGAGGCAGACTAGATGGTGACAGTGAATTTTAAAAATAGACTAAGTTGCCCTACATAAGAAGTTGGGAAAATACTGCTCTGTGTGATAGCACAGGAATGGTGAGCACATCGAAATTTCTAGGGAAATGTTCTCTGCTTGTTAGAATTTTACCAGCATGGAATTGGCTTTAAAGTGCTAATTTGAGTCTACAAGGAACAATACCCGTTTTCTTAGGAAGTACCAACGTGGGTGACCAGCTTCCAACTGGACAGCTGTCAGTGGTGCCCTGGCGACGGACTGGCGTGAAGTACACCAACAATGAGGCCTATTTCGATGTGATCGAAGAGATTGATGCCATTATTGATAAGTCAGGTAGGTCTTCCTAAGCTGCTTCCAGAGACAGGAGAATTCAGTGTCCCCTTCACATTACCCTGGTCGGCCTCTGACACTCCTGCAGGATCGTTCAGTGTAACTAGTGCCTCCTGTGTCGGGTGCCATGCTGCATGAGAGGAATGAAATTCTAACGTTCAGATGTGGATCAGTGTTTGCCTCACACTTTTACTTTCTGTTATCGCTTTTATCCTTTTGAATAAAAAAAGGGAAGTAACAAACTCATCTTGTTGATTAGATTTTTTTTGTTGAAAGTATTTGACTCTAAATTCTGATTGAGGAACTAAAATTGTAATTCCTAAGATTCAGGGAACCTTCTTTTCTGTCTATTCTGAATCAAGTAAATATAACTAGAATCCTTAGAGCTTACAGATTCATGGAAGATTCACATTAGTGGACCAACCTACCCACCCAACACGTTAATTGGAAGCTTGTCGCCCTGTAGTCCAGTACTGGCTCGTGGGCACTGGTAATGAATGAGACACAGTCAGGGATATTAGGAAGCTTAAGTCAAGTCTAGGGAAGGAGTAAGGATGGTAAAAAGTGGTACATTGAGGAGAATCCTCTGTCCGAAGCAGTCGGTACATAGTTGATTGGGTGTGTGCTTCTCAGTGGGATGAATAGAAGTATTTGAGACCTGGATTGATTTGGGGCAGTCATGCTGATGGGTAGAGTCATGCCCAAAATATTTTTGAGAAATAACGTAGTTCAGTGTGACTAAATTGAGAAGTCTAAAAAGAGAAAACTATGTGATAAAATCTTAAAATTAAGGTAGTAATGCAGCTCTTCCTATTAGTCCAGTGGGAGATAGAAAAGATGAGTAAATTTTTATATAGTCAAGACAATGAAATACTATGCAGTCACGAAAAAGAATGAAGTATGGATATACTGCACAATATAAACGAATCTCAATAAATACTGAGAAAAGTCAGATGCATAAAAGTGTAAACGGTGTGATTACTTTTATCTGAAGTTTGAAAACAGGCACAATTTAAGGTACTTGAAGTCAGGATTTTGGGGATGCCATTGCCAGAGATGGACATTAGGGACCATACTAGGGTAAAGAACAGCTTTCATATCTCAATGTGAGTGGCATTTACATAGATGTATACACATTTAAAATCTCACTAAACTGTAAGATGTTTATATTTTACTATTTTGCATCAGTGGAAAGGTTTAAAAAATTGATGGCCATGGTCGGGGATTTAGCTCAGTGGTACTGTGCCTGCCTTGAAGGTGCAAGGCTCTGAGTTCGATCCCTGGTGTCCCACCCCCACACAAAAAAAGTTAATGGCCAGATCACAGGAGCCTGGTATGGTATTTTAAGGAGGGAAATTGGGAGCATGCACGAATCTTCAGCTGGAGAGTGACTTGATCTAGCTGCTCGTTTCGTTTCCAGCCCTCAGTCTGGCTCCATCATAAAGAGCCACCTGAGGCAGCGGCAGACCAGAGGCAGCAGGGTGGTTCAGAGGCTGTAACTGAGGGCCAGGCATGAGATGCAGGTGTTGATAATGTGAGCCAGGATAAGTGGAGTGAATGCATGGAGATACACGTCCTAGGGAGAGTTGGTGATGGACAGGATGTGGGGACTGAGATGCAGTGAGAGATGCATCTGTGCTTTGGGTTGAGGCAGCAAGGTAGATGGTATCACCGTAAGGTTCGGAAAGTAGGAGCTGGTCCAAGGAGCAAAATGACGAATGCACCTGTTGGCATGTGAAGTCCAAAGCACCCCAGTGGGGTTTCTGTTAGTCAGGAGCGAGGTCGAGCTTGAAAGTGGAATAGGAGATCAGTGGCTCTAAGTAAAAATCGAAGCAGTGGGAAGTAGGTACAGTAGCCTAAAGAGAACGTCAAAGGTGTCCAAAACTCTGGAAAAGCAGCACACATTAAGTAAGGTTTGTGAAAAGACATCAAGAGAGGGTCCTGGGAAGTGGGTTAGAGAGAGCATTTGGGAAAGGAAGAGCTGACCAGTGCTGCAGTGAGGACCTGCAGGACAGACCTGGAGCAGAGCCGCTGTGACCCCAGGGAAGCGGTGGCTGATAAGGAATTTTCTGCACCTTTGGTTAAGCTAACGATGCTCTGTGGGGTTCCGGTACTAGATTGAAAACTCATTTTAGTAATCTCCACGCCCATTTCTCTGTCATAGCATCTCACACCTGATAGGCAGTTGGTAGAGGTTTGGAAGGACACACAAATGGATTGGATAAGTGAATTGGATGGTGAGACAGAGGGGAAAAAAAAAGGGAGGTGGGGAAGGGAACAGGAAAGGAAAAGACAGGAGGAGGAGGGAAGGAAGCCCATAGGGGAGTGGTCAGTGACTTCCCTGTCTTCCTCCTGTTTCAGGCTCTACGATCACTGCTGAGATCCAGGGGGTGATCGATGCCTGTGTCAAGCTGACTGGGATGCCAGACCTCACGCTTTCCTTCATGGTAAGTTCTGGGCAGAACTTGAGTTCTTGAGATGGGAAATTAAATGTTTCTGGAAAGATGAGTGGTGAGAAGAAACAGAGTAAGAGGAAATCATGAGGGAATCCAAAGCTTGTATCAGGTTGGGATTTTCTGTAACTTCCAAATTTCTATGTGTGTGTGCGTCATATGTTTTAGTAAAAACAGCACCTAAGTTACTTTTCCTGAAAGAAGCATAGTGTTTGACCCAGGTCCTCGCTTTCCTGCCTCGTCCCTGCAGAACCCCAGGCTGCTGGACGATGTCAGCTTCCATCCTTGTGTCCGTTTCAAGCGCTGGGAGTCCGAGCGGACCCTGTCCTTCATCCCCCCCGATGGGAACTTTCGCCTGCTCTCCTACCATGTCAGTGCCCAGAAGTAAGCAGCTCTTGTTCTTAGATAGCATCTGTGCCTGTGTGTATGTGGAAACAGGGTCGGTACTGATTAGGAGCTGGGCTCTAGAGCTACCTGGGCTCCACTTCCAGCCCCGGTATTACTAACCATATCATCTCAGGTGAATTGTTTCCCTACTCTGTTTTTTTATCTGAAAATAATAAAAGTACCATTTTATGAGGATTAGGCATGAAAGTATGAGTAGCGCTTAACACAAAGGGCTCCTTAAGTCTGCTGCGGTTAACTTTGTTATGTGTCCAAACAAGAACACTTTCTTCTCTCACATTAGAAGCTGAACATACCTATATTCAATCCCCTGGTCCCCCAACATGCACTAAATCATGCTGTGGAACAGTGAATAATGCAGTGCCCTTTTTGTGCCGGGTACTCTCTTCAGTGTGGAGTGGAAACAGTATTGTGCTGAAGGTGTGCCCTGAGGAGATCTAGAGACCTCAGAGCTGACAGCACCTTCCTGTATGATTTAGAATCAGTCATTTAGGGAAATATTGGGTGCTTGAGGTCAAAGGCCCTGGCATCAGACTGAGAGGACTTAAACTAAACTCCACCTTGAAGACAGTACATGGCCTTAGGCAGTGTACATAATCTCGGTAAAGTATAAAGACTTCAGTCATTACCTGCTTTGCACTTACTAGGACGGTTACATAAGCTAAATATCACAAGCATTTAGCATAGTGACCAGTATACGCAGATGTACTCGGTGAGTGTTAGGAACTGTTATTACTGTAGGGTTACTCCGTCACTTCTCTATTTCCTGTCCTTTCAAATCATGACAGTCTACTCTCCCTCTTAGGACTTTGTGAGGTTCACATGAAGTCAGACCTAAAAGCCCCCCTCAAGAAATTATGAAAAGTTCAGAGGTATGAGTATTACTCTTCCCAGTACAAATAACGATCGGTCGTATGTCACAAACTAAAGCATAGAGACATAGTGACTCCATTTTTGTTTATTATGCTTTTCTCACAGTAGTGTTGGTGTGCTCTTTGGCTTTATTTATATTTTTCAGAGTCATCAGAAGACTTAGTTTATTTACTAAACAGCATCTTAGCTTTTCAAAAGAATAATGATTGCTATATTTTTTCTGTATTTTTAAACTAAGGAATAAGGACATAGGCAAGGGAGAAAAAAGCCACAAAAAAAACAACACACACACATAATGTAAAAGGGGGAAATAATGGCATTTTCCAGTACATAAATGAAATGGACTCTGTCTCTCTTTTCCAGTCTGGTTGCAATTCCAGTGTATGTGAAACATAATATCAGTTTCCGGGACAGTAGCTCACTTGGACGCTTTGAAATAACAGTGGGACCCAAGCAGACGATGGGGAAGACCGTAGAAGGAGTGATCGTCCTCAGCCAGATGCACAGAGGGGTCCTGAACATGAGCCTCACTCCATCCCAGGGGACACACACATTTGACCCAGTGACAAAGGTAGGGGAGAAGACGACGTTTTGATTGCACAAGGAGCTCTGCAGATACTCCAGTGCACACTTCAGACCTTATTAGAGGGCAAGATTAATCAAAGAGACAGTGTTTTCTTCTCTGAGATATAGTAACTATGGTACAAATAGTACTAGGTATTGAAAACACCCCAGAGGCAGCTTACAATTCAGTGAACAGAAGCCTTACACTTAGAACTCAGCCACCTCCAATGAAGGGTTTCACTGTACTTCATTATTTTATTGTAAAGACTACTTCTTTTTAAATTTTCTTTGAAGATGCTGTCTTGGGATGTAGGAAAAATAAATCCTCAAAAGCTTCCAAGTTTGAAGGGCACCATGAGTCTGCAGGCTGGAGCTTCCAAACCGGACGAGAACCCCACAGTTAACCTGCAGTTTAAGATCCAGCAGCTGGCCATTTCCGGTGCGTGACCCACTGCTCAGGTGGCTCTGCAGGGAACACGTGACCGTGGGCATCAGGAAGCCTTCCTGTGGCTCCCTATTTATCTGTATAAGGAGAACTTTTTCCACCATATTTCTGGGGGAGGTTTAGGGTCTTTACTCTGAAGTTGATCCAACTGAGACAAAGATGAGAAGGAAATAATATTGGTGGGCAGCAGTGTTCACAGGCTGTTCAGTCATCTTACAGTTGTTGATTTGGGGTTGCCAAGATTTTCAATGTATGAATGCTTCTGTGTTCTTAACTAGTAATAGAAAAGCACCATTTCCATGCCTTTTTCCCAAATATGAAAGGTTTTTGCGTTTATCACTGGAACCACTGGGCCTGTTCGGCCTCAGCCTGATATAACGGTAACTTGCCATTTACTGGACGTTTGTTATGTCCCAGGTGCTCTTTTCAGTTCTTTTCCTGTGTTTCATTATTCAGTCCTTAAAAACAACCCCACAGGGTAGAAAGGAGATGACTTTAAGTTTTTATAATGTTCCCATTTTTTTAATCTAAAAGACTTTGTCTAATTTAAGTGATTAGAATTCAGTTGTTACAAGTTCTTTTTTATCTTAAAGCATTTAGTAAACTATAAAACTATATACAGTATCAATTTTTTGCTCATTACAGTGAGGATACTTAGCATTCATTAATCCGTTCATTGTTTCTCTATTTTGATATATTTTATTGTTAATCCATTAATTGTTATTACTAATTTATTTACTGAACAGTAATGTGAGAAAAACATACAGTACTCTTATGTTTTCCTTCTGGATTTCAGTCTGCATGTATTTCCTGACCTTTCCGCTTTAGGAAGAGGTCTTTTCATAGCATAGCCTTCTGTGAAGCATCTGTTACTGGTAGTACATGTGCTCAGAGTGAAGAATCTGCCAGCTTCACAGAGTGGCTCATTGTTAACAGAAATTGCTGTGTACTCGGATGCTACGTACTTACCTTGCATAATGCCCCTGTTTTGTCTTTCCTTCCTCCCTCCTTTCCAGGACTCAAAGTGAATCGTCTGGATATGTATGGAGAAAAATACAAACCCTTTAAGGGCATAAAATACATGACCAAAGCTGGGAAATTCCAAGTTCGAACCTGAAGGGAGTTTTGTGGAAGGAACAATCACAAACACTTTTTCATTTCTTACTTGTCTAAAAGTAAAAAATATCAGCCTGTCTCTTAGGTCAGTCTCCCCAGGGCTCGCTGGCTCCCTTTTTTCCTTAGCCTCAGAGTGCCGTGGAACTAATCAAGGGAGAGAAGGTTGCCAGGAAGAATGGGACAGGACTGAGCTGCGTCAGCACCAGCTCAGTTCTCAAGGAGGTGTTTGAGGAAAGGTGATAACTGCTTTTAACGTGGGTACTTTAGACAAACATCAGCACTGTTGCTTGCTTGGCTTTAATTATCTAAAGTCAATGCAAGATTTCTTTATTGATTTTTTTTAAGGTAGAAAGAGAAGAAGAAAAGGAAGAGATGAGGTGGAAAATGAATGTTGAAGAAAGCCAGCTAAAAGATGAATCTGAGGCTGAGGTTGTGCTCTGGGGTAAAGGGTGTGTTTAGCAGGCTCTGGATTCAGTCTATGGTGCGTGTGTGTGTGTGTGTATCTGATCTATGAAGAAGAAAGGGGAAGTCATATTAAAGAAGAGGTGTAAGGAAGATGGGCAAAGAAAACTGATCAACTCTGTAAGGTTTGGGAAGGGTAGAGTTGAGTTGTTTTCTTTCTGATCCCTCTGCTCTAATATAAAAATCCTTTGTACTTCTAGAGATGAATTGGAGCCTTCTTAAACCCAAGTCCTCTATTGACATGGAAACCCCAGTAAAATCAGATTTCCCTTGAAGACTATGATATTGGACTGGCTTTCAAGTTCTAACTGTTGCTTGCCTTTAGTACTTGGTCTGTCACCTTCTGTGAGAAGATGACCTGCCTTCTTGCCAAAAAAGTTCTACTCACATTACTCTACAGAATGCACCAGCCTTTTCAGGTTACCTGGTTCTTCTTCAGAACTTCTAAAGACTAGGAGAGTTTCAGTGCAGCCAGGTTTCATGAGTCATAGCCCTGGAGTGGAGATGGCAGCTCATTCCCCCAGAAAAGGGCCCACCGCTGTAGTCCAGCAACCCGTTTCCAGGTGCCCATGTTGGGCTGGTAATGGGTTGTCGGTCTTTCTGCCTGAAGATTCTCTATTAGTAGCCCTTAATAAAAAAAACATCACTAGTAAGGGTGTGATAAACCATTAAAGCTGCATGATACAGTTATTTCCTCAGTCTTGTGTTTTGTACTCTCCTCTATAATATATCTATTAACAGTACCTGTCTGCCAGTCCACTTTTAAGGCAGTTCCTTAAATCTTTGAATAAAATTAATGCTGTAAGAAGACAGGCCACGTTGATGGTGTGGAACCAAATCAGTGTAAGTAATACAGCAAATTAAGGACTACTTAAGGCTTTCTGAATGGCTAATTTTTATTCTGCTCCCATACATTAATTACCCACTTTAATATCTAGATAAGAGTCAGGTTTGGGGGTTTTTATTATTTTTGAGTTATAGCTTAGGAAATGATAACTGTGCTCTCTGTTGTGCATGGAGAAAAAGGAAGACCTCTGTTCTCCAGAATGTAGAACTTGTCTCTAAAGTCCCATTTCCAAACACTTTAGCTTTGTTTTTGACTAGTTTTATCTTGCTGCTGCTTCCAGGACTTGTTTTTGCTGCAGAGTAATATTGCTTTGTGGTTTTCCTCTGGGTTACCTTGTGCTGTGTACAGCCTAGTTTATCTGTCACTGCAGAATTTTCCCTAGGTTACCGTGGCGCACAGACCTCCTCGCAGGGGAAGTGTCTCTACCTGGGAGTTCCAAAAACCACTTCTCCTGCGGGATCCGAAGGACTTTAAGGTCTCTTAGGTCGCAGGAAGCAACTAATCTTGGTTCCTGAATACTTTTAGGTTATGAGTACAGCTGTTTTGATTGCTCCAGGGCAAACTCACCCTCTTACAGGGTGTACTAAGGTAAAGTGTCCGTAGAGGAAGACCCCTGCAGGCAAAGCGTGTGGAGTGCTACACATGGATGCAGCAGATGAGTGTCACACCTGCCACCCTCCAGTGTCTCCGTCGGCAGGAATCCTGCAGGGCGTCTCACAGCTGTTAAGTTCATGTGTGCTTAATATGTACCGGAGTACTTGAGACTAATAAAGTTGAGTTTTCCCAGTGCTCTGAGGCCTTTGTGTTTTGTTAGCAGCACAAGCAACAGTTCTACACCGTTTCTTTCTCAGTAGAATCAGCAATGAATTCATTCAGAAGACCCAAGGCCACACAGTGTGACACTCTAGCCACCTCTGAAAACTGGTGATATTGGTGTTAGTGTTATTTTTAAGGTTGTGGCAACTAAGGTTCGGGTTAACCAAATTGTTGTTCTCCAGGGCAGAAGAGATGAGACCATTGAGTTGGCAGTGTTCTAGAGTTTTCTCTCTTCTGATGTGCTCCTCAGGTTGGCTAATTTAGGCAGGAAGCAGGTCTGCAGGGCATTAGATGGATGCCTTTACTGAAGTAGAGGTTTCCCGGAAGGTAAGGGTTGGGTGTCTATAACGTGCACACCAGTATTCTGCATCTGTACTGCTTTTCGTCTGGAGACTACTAACCACAAGTACTTAGTGTTTATTAATACTCAGCTAGTTCTTTATTTCAGCCACTCTGTAGTACAGTAGTCCCCCTCTCAGCTACAGTTTTGCTTTTCCCATTTTCAGTTGCCTGAGGTCTGAAATATTAAATGGAGAATTCCAGGAATAAGCATTCTTGTTTTCAGATTGTGCACCAATCTGGGTCATTTAATGAAATCTTTCCCTGCCCTGCTCTGTCCTGCCCAGTCTCATCCCACTTTGTCCCTACTGTTCTTTATCCCCTTGTCTGGTGTAGCTGAACTGTAAACAGCACCTGCCTCGTGATCACTTAGGGGTTGCACTCTCATGGTGTTCGTATTCAGGTAACCCTTCTTTTGCTTAATAGTGGCTCAAACCATAATAGTGATGCTGACATTTGGGTATACCAGATAAAAGTCTTTTAAGGAAAACAGTTTTCTACGTAATAGACAAAACATAACAATGTTGCTATGATCTACAGTAAGAGTGGAATTTCTCTGATTTTTTTTTTTTTTTTCTTTTGAGACAGGATCTCGCTATGCAGTTCAGGCTGGTCTTGAACTCACAGGCTGACTCAAACTTGTGATCCTCCTGTTTCAGCCTCCCAAGTGATGGTATTATAGTTTGTACTAGTGTTGCTCTTGAACCTCAAGCTGCAACAGTTAAGCCACAGTGTGTTAAAATCACTTAGTTAAGATGGAAAAGACATCACTTAGCGGGTAGAAAGTGTGTTGCAATTGCTAACAGCATGTTACACGTGAACCTGTACAGGGACTTCAGCAAGGGAACCCCTAAAACAAGTGACACCCAACTGTTCACTCCAGGTGGGGGTGTGAGAGGGAGAGGGGAGGAACACATTCATGTAACGTGTAAAAGTACATAATGTTCGGCCACATTTTTCTTGTTGCACTTTGGTTATACAGATTGCAGGATTTCCTTTTGGCAGATTTGAACATGAGCCTATCAGTGACCTCGCCTCATTACCCAGGTCAGTGTGGGGCTTCCACGTCCTATTGTGTTCTGATCATGTTCATGCCTGCTACTACCTGGCCTTGTCCCCCTCCGCCTCCTTTCCTTCCTTTTTTAATCTAGTAATATTTACCTTGTCATCTGTTTTTCGATTCTGTTTATTAGGGAGGACACACTATTTCTGAGTCAGGGTGGTTTACTCAGCGTGATGACCTCCAGTTTTGTATATATTTCTGCAGATGATGCTGCATGATGTTTGCCTGTGGGTGCGCACCACCTTTTCTGCATCCCTCTGTTGATGGGACCAGGCGGTTCTACAGCCTGGCTGCTGTGCGTTGTGCCTCAGTGTCGTGTGCGGGCAGCACTGTGGGCACTAACTCATTCAGGCACATGTCAAGGAGAGGTGGAGCTGACCAAAGGGTAATTCTTGCCTTTTGAGGAACTTCCTTTCATCTTGTTTCCATGTGGCTGTGCTAACCTACATTCCCACTAGCAGTACAGAAGGGTTCCTTTTCCCTGCATCCTCACCAGCATTTACTATTTTTTGTGTTCTTGGTGGATGACAGTTATTTTGACTGGAGTGAGATGGGCTCTCAATGTAGTTTTGATTTGCATTTTCCTAATGACTAAAGATGTTGAACATATTAAAAATTTACTTATTGGCCACTTGTCCTTCTTTTAAGAAGTATCTGTTCAGTTATTTTGCCAGTTTATTGATTGGGTTATTGTATTTTTTGATGTAAAGTTTTTTAATACTGTTTATTCTAGATATTAATCCTCTGTTGGAAGAGTAGCTGGGAAGGATTTTTCTCCCATTCAGAGGCTGTCTTGCACTCTGGAATCCCTTGCTATCCAGAAAGTAATTTGATGTCCCATTTGTTGATTCTTGCTATTGTTTTCTGTGCAAGCCTTTGTTTGTGCCTGTTGCTTCAATTGTTTTCCCTGTGTAAACTACATAATTATAATTGTTCTATTGAGTTATTATTAATCTCTTACTGAGCCTAACTTACAAATTATACTGGAAAGAAACAAGGTGCACGGCCTTCATGGAGGTTCTGGGCACTGTGCCCCCGAGTCAGTGCTGACTGCCGCGTGGCTCTCCTCCAGAAGTCCTGGTGGCCTTGTGTTGGGACTAGAAATTTCCTTGCGTGCTTGCTCTTTCCTCTGTTACCAGTAGGTGGTGACTCATTGCCATCAATACTAATGTTTGTAGTTGTTAGAATTTTTAAAAACCTAATTCATTTGAAACCCACATTTCCTCCAAAATCCTAAGTACTGGGGATTAGGTGGGTCTTTGGCTTTTGAAGTTAAATGTGGAAACAAAAGTTTATGATGTGTTTTGAGAAAGAGGTGTAAGTGGAGCTGTGGAAGTTTTAACTGTTTGTGTTCTGCTAGGTCGTTACCCTTAAAACCAATTGCATAATGACCAGGGAATCTTTCTTTCGTGTTCTCCAGTCAGTTGGCATCCATTTGTTTTATTGATCAACCAGGGATGATGAGGAAATATTTAATTTCCTCTTACACCCATTTCCCTCCCCTGACAAGTTCCAAATGTTTTCTCTGAATGTTCCGGCCCACACTGGTTAGTGTGTTGCTTTTTGTTATTTTGGTATAATTGAAATAACTGTCTGCTGGGCTGAGACTCTGCCTGTAAGTCAGTTGGTGGCCTCTTTTGAACAGTTGTCTTCATCTGCTGGCGGTTTCCAGGGCTCCACTCAGAGGAATGCTGGGACCTTTTGACTCTGAATTCCCTCCACAGGAGGCCTCACCACTCTGATTCATTTCATAAGCCAGGGTCTAAAGAAGAGTTGTGGTGGGGGTGGGGGTGGGGCGGCCTGTTGGCCAGAGATGAAAAGTCAGTGATTCTCCATCACTGCTGCCCTCATGCACTGTTTCTTTGGAAACAGCTAAGATGAGCATCGATCGAAAATAGAATCGCAGGACTTGGAGGCAAGAAGTATGCAGTCAGGAACTGCATGGTGCTAGTCTGGGACCTGCACTGATTTAAGGGGCCTAAGGACTTAAGCATTTCAGGGAAGCCCTGGCCATCCCCCATCAAGCTCCTGGGCATTAGAGAATTTCTTTTGTGAGTTTAAGCACTTTTCTTCCAAGAACTTCTAGCAGGACAGTTCTGACAGCCTCTGAAGATAAAGTGCTTTCTTCTCCCTTTAAAACTCAGCACATGCCCAGTGGCAAGCGCTGCCCTGTCAGATCTACTTTTGGAGCCAGCACGTCACTGGTAGAAATGCAGCCAGCAGCCTTGAAAGACACCGGCAGCTTCCCAAGGGCGGGAAGAAAGTAGGCTAAGAAGCGGGGAGTCCACAAGGCAGCAGGGCATAAGTAACAAATGTGTGTGGACTGGTCCAGGGGTTCATTTTTAGGAGCAGAAAAGCAGAGTAGAATGGGGGAAAGACCCAGATAACAGCTTCTAGTCTGAAGCAGGAATTGAGGGGTTGCTGTGTTAGCAAGGCCATGGTGAGCTGGCTTTTCCTTCGTGCTGTGGTTACTGCCCGCAGGACCTCAGACCTGCCTGCTCGCTTGTCACTGTGGGGCCCATCTCCCGGGCAGTTCAGCTCGACCCAGTCCCTGCCCTGCTGCTGCAGAGAGAGGTCCGAACTCCGACCTCTGCAGAGGCCGTACCATCTACTTCCAAACCATCGTCCTCTGTGAAGTTCACTCCAAGCTGCTGCTCACTCCTCCCTAGTCCTCCCTAGTCCCCATCTCTGGCCTCCGGAACCCTGCATGTCTGGCAGTGAGCTCTGTCTGGGACTGCCTTTCCTGCGCTCATCTGCGTCTTGCCCGGCTGTGACTGCCTCGGTAAGTCTGTTTTCTTTAAGACTCCCTTGTTAGACCGCAAGTGAATTCCAGTCAGCGTCTGCCACACTGTGGCCACATCTGCCCTGTCTTGCTTTTCTTGCCAATGTCTTGTGCTCCTGTCATACCAAGCTTTCCTTTCTCCCCAGCTCTGACTGTCCAGCAGAGAGCCTGGCATATTTCTTGGTAGGCAACAGGTATTTCACACATGTTGAAAGGAAATGTTTCATATGGTTCAGAAAACGTGAATGTGAATAACGAGAAAGTCACCTATGGGTACTGTATAACAAAACTGTTCCACTCTGATTTGAGAACAATGTGAAAAATATATCCGAATTTATTGTGTAAGTACAGTATGATACAAAGTTGTGGCAACAGAAAGTAAAAACTAAAATGGATTGATATAAATATGCTAAAGCCTAGCTCATCAATTATTAAAATGACAGAATGCTCCCATTCTATAAAGTCTAGAAAGAAAAAAAAAGGTCTACTGTACACAAAAGGAATACTTTTTAAGAGCTGTGGAGTGGAAAGGGGGAAGGAAAATATGTGATTCCGAGGTGGTTTGGGGAACGTGATCTGGCCGGCCAGCCCATTTTGTCCGAAGGCCTCATCGGGCTATCTTGTAACCATAAATACACATTCTAGTTCTAAGGCAATCTTTCTGTCCCAAAGGGTCTGCACATTTCTTACAATTGAGATCCGCTTTCCTCTGAGGTCTCAGCTCCCGAGCTCAGGTCCCATGAAGAGCTCGGGCTTTTGTTCTGCCTGCAGAACCTGGCGAAGATTGGCATTTATTTACCTGTCTTCTCACCTGATACAATACATTCTCAAGGCTGACCTCAACCCCTAAAACCTTCTAAAGCACAGATGCACTTCATTCTTGCCTATTGACTGTCCTCCCTGCATGGCATGTGGGTTGAGAAACTGGCCTGAAGAAGTGCCTGGTGTTTGCGAGCATCTTCTTAAAGAGGAGGAATGCAGGCTCTCCTTGGAGTTCGGGAGCGGGGGCTTCTTGGTCATGGCTGCATATTGTCTTGAATCCACGTGAGGTAGTTAGTGACCTTAGTATATACACCCGGAACATCCTTCTGCCCGCAGCCGATGCCCCAGCTGATGATGCCAACCAGAGTCATGCGCTTGTCCCTCATGCACACCAAGGGGCCTCCCGAGTCACCCTGCAAAGACACAACAGATTAACTGCTCACACAGCAGAATAAGAGAAAATTGTTCAGGTTACTGTTTGCAGTGTTAAGGTTGTATTCTTCAAAATACATAATTCAGAGAGGGAAGATTTCATCACTGCTCTTGATCCCTAGAGCCTTGATGGTGGCTTTTAGAGACCACGTGCCAAACTGCAACCAAAACCCACCTATTTATCACAAAGTGCCGACACTGCAATTAAACCTAAATACTGAGGTTTTTAGAAAAAACAACTCACACATTAAAATTTTTGTCTTAAAAGGAAAACACAAGAACACCCATGCCATAGGTTCACCGCTAGAGGATTTGATAGTGTCTACCTGAGACATTGGCTCAGGGCTGGGTAGCTCAGTGGCAGAGCACTTCTCTAGCATGTACTAGTGTGCGCAAGACCGGGGTTCCAGCATGGCACTGATAGGATAACTGACTTTCCCACTTGCCAAATGTTATGTTTTGTGTCCAGATGTCTTCCACAAAGCCTCATGCACTCATAGTTCACTTTTCAGAAGTGGCCGGATCTAGAGTGTATGAGGCTGGGATCAAGGGTGTGTGGTTACTAAATCAGTCCAGTGATTGTATTGGCACAGTTCTGGGCAGGATTAAGGGTGCCCCACCCTGGGTGTGAGTGCTATCTGCCCTAAGGGTGGGTAGCCTGGTTAAGATACAAAGGACAGAAAGAGGGTTTCTTGCCTCTTGTTTCTTATTACTTTGCTGTCTTCTGCCTGCCATGGACTGTTTCTCCTCTGCGATGCCCCTCTGCCATGCGAAACTCCCTTGGAGCCAGCCAACTATACTGAAACCTCTACAAACTGTGAGTCAAATAAACCTTTCCTCATCTAACTTTGGGTGTTGGGTATTTTGTCTCAGCAATGGGAAAAAGTAACTAAGACACCAGCTGAGCTCCAGTTTCCTAACTGGAAACACAGATAATACTGTCTACTTCCTGAGGTAGGAAACCCTCCTGGAATTGGGATGATGAATGAAAAGTGCTGAGAACAATGAGTGACAGTAAAACTCTCCGTAACTGTTAGCTGTTTCTGTCATATTGAATCAAAATGATATTTATGGTTTTGTTTTTAACTTTTAACTCTGCACAGTTTGAGGTTTCACTTTGTGTACAACTTCGTTTCAACTGTGACTAGGTGGTATAGTTGAGGTTTCTGAAGAAACCATATACAGAGAGACCGAGAATGTTAAGGAACCAAGGGGAAATCACTGATACCTTACGCCAGCAAAGCCCACGAAGCCTGTGAGGCAGAAGACTCTCTCTCTACCTCACTGCCCCAGCCCTAGAGGAGGGCCTGATACACCTCAGGCACTCAAGTGTTAGCAGCAGGAGCGCCTCAGCCATCCATGCTCATGCCTTAGTGCCAGCAGGGGCGTCTGACCCTGTACCCCAATATATTGTTAATACCCAAATTCTGATAAAGATCCCAACACAGAGAACCTGAATAGTTTGCTTCCTGGGGTGAATATGAGATTTTAAAATTTATTTCTCAGAAGCATCTACATCCTGTTTCCCAGTAAGTTGCCTTTCTCTTAGTCCTACCATGAAGCAGACCCCAGTTCTCTAGAACCTACAGAAGTTACTTTGTTTTGTTTTGTTTTGTTCTGTTTTTGGTACCAGGGATTGAACTCAGGCCCTTGCCCTTGCAAGGCAGGCAGTGGCACCACTGAGCTAAATCCCCAGCCCTACAGAAGTTATTTTTAAGGTATGTTGCTTCACCTATCACTTCAATCGCCTGGCTCACAGGAAATCCTGTCCCAGGTGGAGTTTCCTGTGCTGACACTGGGGAAATTTCCTGCAGTTTATATTTCTTAAATTTGGGCACTTTGATCTTTCTCCAGTTGCTTTACTCTCTGAGGCCTCATCTGGAATTCCCAGGGCCTCAACAGGGTGAAATCATTCTACTTGGGCCTTTCCTTGGTTAAGAGCCCATTGGCTGAGGAACGTTTTATCCCCAGAAGGTGCAGAGCCCGGAAGGTTGCTCATGCTCACCTGGCAAGCATCGTGCAGGTTTGCTTGGTTCCCTCCACTCCGAGTGTCTCCGGCGCACAGCATGTTGTGTGTGATGGTTTTATTAAACAGATGCCGTGACGTGCAGTGGCTGGGCGGGTACAGTCTGACGTGAGCCTCCTTCAGTCGCTCAGAATAGAAGGGAGAGGCTGAAAGAGAGGGGAATGTCTCACAGTTATACGGCAAGTTACTTGGAACATTTTGGAAGGGGAAAACCACAAATTCCAGTAACAGTTAATGTTATCAAAGATTTGCATGTGTTAAGTTAAATTCCCACGTGTTAAGTGACACTACCTGGTATTTTATTGTTTTGACTACAAAACCACCAATTTCACTGGGTTTGCTGCAGGGTTCCACATGGCTGTGCAGCTGACATTGGCCTGGCAGAGGACTGACTCCTGTTTGCCTTATTTAGCAGCCTCCTGGGCTCACTCACTGAAAGCCAGTGTCAGCCTTCAGCCACAGAGGTCGCGGCCAGATGTGCCCAAAGTTTCCTGGGTAGCAGGATCACCAGTTTAATAAAATATTATCTTGTGTGATCCTATCAGCTAGACAAGAGGTTCATTCTGTGTCCACCCTGGCAGTGCAGAAGCAGGCTTGGGGCAGTTTAGAATGCAAAGTCATGGCCAAGTTGGATGTGGCAGTGTGTGCCTGTAACCCTAGGTACTCCGCTAAGACGGGAGGACCATTGGTTAAGGCCAGCCCGAGCAACCTAACCAAACAAGAACACTGCTCTAGTACTATGGTTCGGGTCTTGCGGGTCCCCCAAAACTTGGTGTGGACAGCTTGGCTCCCAGCCTGAGGTGCTTCTGGGAGGTGATGGAGCCTTGACGAGGTGCAGCCTGGTGGTCACCAGAGGTGCCCTTGAGAGGATATGGGGGTCCTGGGACCTACCCCCAACCCCCGAACGCACAAACACACACACACACATGCGCGCGCACACGCGTGCCTTGTAGTTGTGGGGCTTGACCCCTGGGCCTTTGCACAAGTTACATTTCCAGCTCTGTATTTGTTTTTTGTTGTGAGAAGACAGGATCTTGCTAAGTTGCCAAGTTGCCCACATTGGGTTTGAACTCCCAGCGTGCTGGGATGTCAGGGGTGTGCTCCCAGGGGTCTGGCTTCTCTTAGCTTTCTGGTTGGCATGAGGTGAGCAGCCTCTTGTGCTACCTGTTCCCACCATGACGATCCACCTTGCCACAGGCCTGCAGGCCCAGAACTCCAAACCAGCGAGAGCTAGTTCATCTCAGGTATTTGTTACCTTAACAGAAAACGAACCAACATGTCCAAGGGCCCAAAGCTAAGCAAGACACAGATAAGGGATTTGAACTCAGCCCCTCCACACCTCCAGCATCCAAAACGCACACCCTTCATCACTGTACAGAATCTTCTTGGAGTTTAAGCTCTGCAGAACACTTGCACCACTCAGACTTTCCCTTTGCCCCTGCTCACACGGGGTGGAGGCCAGGAGCCTTACCCACATTTACTCGGCACCATCTTTTCCCTCATTTGCTCAACCACCACATGCCCTGTGCCCTGCAGACAGACAGGACCCCGAGGCTCCCCTCCACTCACACGCCTCGTGCTTGCCGTAGCCGGACAGCTCGCACTCTGTCCAGTCAGGCAGTTGCAGGTCGGCGGCCGGGAGGCAGGCAGTGCGGACCGTGGCGCTCTCCTGGGTACAGTGCAGCGAGTCTGACCTCAGGTACAGCAGGGCTGGGAGGGAGAGGAAGGGAGGTAAGCGGATGGAGCGGAGCCCTTCCCAGGAAATGGAGTAAGGGTGAGCACAGTCGTGACAGAAAGTGTGTTCTGGAGTACGAGCTGGGCGGGCACAGGGATGTCTCACCGATGTCATTGTCGTAAGTGTCCTCATCAAAGTCCTTATGGAGGATATATTTTTCAACTTCAAATTTCTGCTCTTCTTCACCAGGGACCTCCCGATATGTTCTGCCCAGGACCACCTTAAGGAGGTGAGGAGAATACCTAACAGAGAAATGGCTTTAGAATGCTATTTGGGCTGTGAAATGCGCTCCTGTGTGCCCAGTCATGAGGCCTTAGAGAGCAGAGAGCCCTGTCGGCCCTTCCTGGCCCCTACCTTTCCAGGAAGCAGTGGGCAGCTGACAGGACCCAGCAGGAACTGATGAGCACTCCCCCACACAGAAACCTGTCTTCCTCCGACTTCTTATTCCCGATGAAGATTGCAGCCTGCCAAGGATGCGAGGCGATGTCCGAGTAGAGTCCGCCTTTAATGCGGAACTGGGGCTCCTGGTATTGGCGCAGGCCACAGGTAGCTGGAGGAGGAGAGGTCTCAGGGAGATCAGATCTGCCCTACTGGGGCAATTTTGTCCACGGGCCACTGCCCTTTCAGTGTTCACGCTATCAGAAATACCTCTCACTTGTCTGGTTCACTGGCACACATGCTAGATAATGCATGCACACTGCCTTTATCCTGCCAGCCCGGCTGTGAAGGAGGCTGAGAAATTGTCACCCAAAATCACAGCAGCACCTGGAGTAGAACCCAGGTCTGTCTGATGCCCAGCCCGGGAATCTTTTTGCTCTGCTTCAGTGTGTTTTTGGCGCATTATCTCCTAGCCAAGAAATAATTAAGTGTTGCGAACTTCCTTCTGAGGAACGTTGCATATTTCTTTTATGTCTGCCAAGCTTTCCCATCCCCAAGATCCAGGAGCGATCTCCCCTCTGCAGAGGAGAAGATGCTTCCTTAGCGGCCCAGCCACCTTGGTGACTGGTTCCCCCAGCTTGCACCACTGTGACCTCCTGGGGAGTTAACCGAGGGTTCATGTGTCCCCTCCCAGTTAGACCTTGCATTCCTTCAGAAACGTCCTGGCTCATCTTTGTGTCACAGGAGCTGAATAATCTATTCTCAGGCAATTTCCAAACGAAAGTTTCACTTTTTGAGAAACTCATCAACTTGAAATTTCTCTGTCTCCACTCCCTTATTGAGGCCCAGCCCCCTTGTGGTAAATGGGTTCTGCCAGAAATACAGAAGTGCAATCGCTAGAGATGGGACAGTCCCAGCTTGGCCTCTTGGAGCCCAGGGACCTGTGCAGGCCACACCTGTCTTCTGAGAGTGCATTTCCCGATCTCCCCGGGGATCAGGATCATGGCAGAATTACCCTCTTCTGTAAGATCTACCCCTCCTCACATCCATCAGCACAGTCCTCCCCAGAGAGACATCCTGAGAGGACCTATGGAGGGAAATCGGTGTGCTCTCTTCCTTCTTCCGGCTCCTCTCCGTTACCCTTGCACCCTTGCCCACCATTGCATGGCCGTGGAACCCTCTCCCCACCAACACCCGGCCCCTAAGTCGGGCATTTCCACAGTCTGAATGGAGCAGTACAGAGACTCAGAGGGCAGCTCAGGGAATAGTGAGACTAGGCAAAGGGAGGTACCCAGGGGCCACTCTTACAGCACTGGGGCAGATCGCAGTATTCCCAGGTTGGCTTGTGGTCCTTTAACACGTGGCACCAGGGCTTGGCATCCCCGTCTGGGTTCCTAGGTGAGAAGGGATTTTAAGGTCTCCAGGCACATTTCCACTCAGGTCACAGGCTGCAGGAGGGTGGGACAAGGCTGGGTGGACCAAGGGCGCACACTCTGAGCTCGGAGGGGGCAATCCTAAGTCAAACTCCAAGCACCGGAAAAGAAACTTCCCTTTGACTTTGCTTTTCTGTCAGAAACATGCTTTCATCTCATAGGCATGTTGGGAAGAGTTAGGAGCTGTTCTGAGAAGAAACTCTCACAACGCATTGCAGTAAGAGGGTCACAGGCCCAGGAGAGACTGTCGGGATGGGACAGGACTTGTGACCGGGGTTAGGGTACAAACACCAGGGTATCTTGCTTTTCAAAACTGAGTATTATTCTAGAAGACAGATAGGTTGGCCTAGATCAGAGGTGGTGAGCCTATGGCACCCGTGCCACAGCCAGCTGTTCATCATTGAAAACTCTAAAGGTTTCACCATCGCTGGACGGAAAAATGTTCACATAACCTTTCACGCGACCTCCAGCATTAAATCCCCTCAAGGGGGGTTGGGGATGTAGCTTAGTGGCACCATGGCTGTCTTGAAAGCTCAAGGTCCTGAGTTCGATTCCCAATACCAAAAAAAAAAAAAAAAATCCTCTCCATCTCACACCCCACTGTTCCCTCTGGCAAGGGCTGGACCCCTCCAACCCTGGGCTACATACCGGCAATAATTGTGTGTGCCCAAGCCCAGAGCCTGGGAGTTGAACCTCCATGCGGTGTAACCCCTGCCCCTCAGGATCACAGAGTCCCACGGGAGGCAGGAGGCACCGGACGTGGTAAAGCTCCGGGTACCGCGGTATGCTGACCCATTTCCAGAGTAGCAGTCCGCATTGCTTCCTGGAACAAAAGAAATCTCCAGCTGAATCAAGACAGTCAAATGAATACGCAGGCAAGCTGGAGTCTGAAATAGAGATCCTGGCTGGGAAAGTGAAGGTGACCACTCCTGCGTGGAGAGGCTGTGGTCTCTCTAATTTCCCTTTCTCTTCAGACCCTTTTGTCTAGAGGTGGCAAGTGAATTTTGCTGTAATGTGGATCTCAAGTGTCTCCCAAAGACCATGTGAAAAGGGCCTGATCTGCAGTTCGTGGCTGCTGGTGTGGAGCCTACTGGGAGGTCTGTAGGTCACAGATTGTGTGTCCTTGAAAGGAGCTGGATACTCTTGTCTTCCTTTTTGTCTTGTTTCCCAGCTGAGAAGTGAACAGTTCTGCTTTACCACTTGTTCCTGCCACGGTGTGCCACCACAGGAGCAGACCAATAGGACTAATCCCAGACTAAACCTCTAAAACTGTGAGCCGCAATACACCTTTGCTCTGTTTCAGAAGTTGACTATCTCAGGGAAGTGTTACGGTGACACAAAGCTGACAAGGACTGCATCTCGGGTACCAGCTTCCATCAGCTGACTTGGCTTCCCAGGTGCCACGTGCAAGACGTTCACCAAGGCACTGTCTGTTCAGGTCGTCACTGGTGCTGGCTTTTGGAGTTGCTTGCAATGTAGGAGTTCCCTGTTTGTACTCAATGGCGGCATGGCCTTTGATAGGAGGTGTTCTGGTAGGTCCTGCTTGCTCAGATTTGGTCTGCCATATCTTTGCTTTGAAGGGCTTGTTGGGCTTGGAAGACAGAGTATGAACCTTAAAATGCCACCTACCTGCCCTATCCTTACCTCTCTGTACAAATGCCTTAATTAGAAATGATCTGTGACTGCAGATTTGACCAAATCATTGGGGATGGGAAGGATGCCTTAGAATTGTCAAGAGTCTTCGTATTCATTCACAGGTATACTGGCATTACCTGGAGACCTGCAGACTGAACCCATCTTATTTTTGTGTGTGACACTTAAAAATCTTTCATGTTAGGGCTGGGGATTTAGCTTAGTGGTTCCACTGCCTGCCTTGTAAGCACAAGGACCCGAGTTTGATCCCTGGTACCAAAAAAAAAGAAAAAAAAAATCTTTCATGATATTGTGATGAATGACATAATCATTTGTGAACACGCCGCTGAATTCATAATGCCTTTTTAAAGTTGGTATGTTTTCATTCTGGGGAATTATTTTACATTAAAAGTTTTGAACTGGGCGTGGTGGTGCACACCTATAAGCCCAGCACTCGGAAGGCTGAGGCAGGAGGATCGCTGTGAGTTCGAGACCAGCCTGGGCTACATAGTGAGTTCCAGGTCAGTCTCAACTGCATAGCGAGACCCTGTCTCAAAAAAAGAAAAAAAAAAAAAGTCTTGAGAGAGTCCTATTAATTCAAAAAAGAATATCTCTTCATTCTCAAAAGGGATGGAAACCAGTGACTCAGCCCCATTCTCTCCTCTAGGTGAGGAGACTGGAGATTAGGGGGCTGAAGAGGTCGGCTCAAGGTCACGCACAAGCCGAAGCCAGCCTGGGTGAAGACCTAAGTCCACTGACCCTGTTCCCTGTGCAACCGTGATGAGCACCTCCCAGCCTACTCCTTCCTCTCCGGGGTCAGCCCTGTCCTCCCGATGCTTCTCCAGTAGCCGCAGGGCAGGAGCGCTGCTGTCACTCACCCTTGGGGCAGGCCGGTGTGCTGCAGAACTCTGAGATGTACTTTCCTGCCTTAAAGACATAGCACCAGGGCATCGAGTCTTGGTCTGGGTTTCTGGAAGATCAGCCGAGAAGGTCAGGGAAGGTTAAGAGTGAAGCTTCCTTCCTTTCAGACCCCAGGCACCCATTGAGGGAAACGGTATGTGTGGGTCTGGTAGTAGATCACTGTATCATGTTCAGCAGAAATATGACTGGGTTGTCTTTATGTGACGTTTAAGTGTGATTTAAGGAAGTGAACATGAGTGCCTCAGTGATTAAGGGTGCACCACAGCCATCCCTGTGTGTCACATGGCTAGGCCACAGTGCCAGGTAAATAGAAGACATTAATTCAGGCATTGCTGGGATGGTGCTTTGCGGCTATGATTAGAATCTGCAGTCAGTCAGTCTTGGTGAGATTATCCCCAGTAACGTGGGTGGACCTCTGAAAGTCAGTCCCCCAGCTTAGACACCCAGGCCTTCACAGCAGACAGTGAGCTGGGCCTGCATGCGATACTCCACAGCTGTCTGAGACTCTCACCTGCTGGTTGGCAACGGTACACACCAGCCTCAAGTGCCAGTCTGTGTGTGCCGCACTGCTTGCTTCTCTAGAGAACCTGACTGAGGTAGGCGCAGGTCTTTTCCCACCAGAGGCCGGGGGACAGCAGCGGGGTGGCCCTCACCTGCAGTAGTTGTGGTTCCCAAGCCCCAGCTTGATGGCACCTGGCCTCCGCGCACTGTAGCGCTTCAGGGCCAGCACGCTGCTGTTCCAGTTGACACACTCGGCCCCGCTCTGCGCTGTGCTCCATGTGCCCCTGTAGGAGATGCCCTGGTCCCTGTAGCATGTGGCTCTGGTGTCTGATGGAGAAAAGGGCGCAGCCCCTCTGTGTGAGGCCCCGGCTTCTCAGAGGGCTTCTGTGGTACCTCAGGCAGCACCTGGGCTCTAACCCTCCCTCCTGCAGCCCTTCCTCGTCCCCGGCTCTGGCCTTGTGCTGCGTTTCCTTTCCAGGCTGATTTGGGGCTCAGGGGCTTAGCACCCACACACCGCCACACTCACCTATTTCGCAGCGTTTCCCCATAAACCCCTGGGGGCACTGGCAGACGAAGTCTGAGAAGTAGAGGGCCTGCCGGCAGATTCCCCCATTGAAACACCTGGGCTCGCTGCAGCCTGTGGGGTGAAGACAAGGAATCCCTGGTCACTTTCTGAGTTGCTGCAAGGACAGCGCGAGCTGCCATTTTCAGAGTGCCCTCTTCACGCCAGCCTACTTTGCTCAGTTCCCAAAATAAACTCAGTGAAGCTCAAACCTCCCGTTACATATACACTGTTATTCCGGTTCACATGAGGAAGCAGACTGGGCAAGGGAAGACCCGTTCTGAGCTCTGGGTCTCCCTGCTGTGCACCGTGACTCTTTCCCTCCTGCCCATAGCAGGCCAGGCCTGGGGTCTCCCTGGGAGCCTGGGCTGGCATGGGCGCATACCCTTGATGGGCACCGAGTGGCACTGTGGCCTGCCACCATTACACCAGCAGAATTCCACCCGGTTGCCTCTGAGCAGGGGCCGCAGCCACGACTCGTGCTGCTGGTAAGTCATCTGAGTCTTCTCATCCCTGCAGGTCACTGCAACACAGACAGGTTGGCCTTGTCAGAATGCGATTTCTTTTTTGGTACTGTGGATCGAACTCGGGTCCTTGCGCTTGCAAGGCAGGCGGTGGAGCCATTGAGCTAAATCCCCGGCCCTCTCTCTTGCTTTCAACATTCAGTCCACTCTTCATGTTGCCAGTTCTGCATCCATGAGCTCCGTTAGCCTGGGCCTAGGACGGCTGTGTCCACATTGAACATGTGCAAGCTCACCCGGCACTCCCTACACAGTACAGCATAGCAATCACTTATATCTGTACGGGCACTAGAGAATTCCCGTTGTACCAGAAGTGTAAAGGTGATCGAAGTGTACGGGAAGATGTGTGTTGGTGCTATGGGAACGCAGGGCTGTGTCACTTCATAGGGGGGATTCAAGAGTCTGGGCGACCAGAGGGCTCAGGGTCCTAAGCTGTGGATACTGAGGGACGGCTGCAGTCTGTTGTGTGTCCCTTAGGGATCCCATTGGAAAGGAATGGATACCTAACATTTTATCACCAAACACCACTTTTATGTTTACTCCAGTGAGCCCTTGTTTTGAAAGCATTACTCAATCAAAATGCATGTATTAAGTGATACTGTAACTTTTCATTTTAATTCATCAGAGTACGCACATGTATAACTGCCTATCGGAGTCATTTACCCACGAGTATTATTACATAGAAATGCAACTTTTGGCCTCCAACAGAGAAGATTGAGCTTTTAGGCTGAGAAAATGTACAGAAAATGTGCTGCTTCCTATAGTATTTTTGATATAATGAAAATAGTTGAAGTACTTCTGCTAATATTTTATCTTTATTTTCAAACTAGAATGCCAATTTTAAAATAAAAACACCACTTTAATGCAAGCAGTGACTCATGCTCCCTGGAGACAATGCCCTTGCTTCGGAAGGCTTGTGAAGGCCTGGCTGCCCTGACAGGAGGCTCTGCTCTCCATCAGCAAAACCAGTATGAGCCAGCATGACTCATTTGTGGAAATTGCACTTGAAAAGTGTTACAGCCAGGCTCGGCAGCACAAGCCTGTAATCGTGGCCTGTGGAAGGCTGAAGCAGGAGGATCACCAAGTTCAAGCGTAGCGTGTGCAACCTAGTGACTTAGACACTGTCTCAAGATTTAAAAAAAAAAGGCCTGGGGATGTGAGTTTGGAAGCCCTGGGTTCAATTCCCAGTACTGCAGAAGGTGGGGAAGAGGGAGGAGGATGATGTCTTCCAGAGCCAACCAAACTGAGGGATGAGGGCTCCAGGTTGCTGGTCTGAGACTTGAAATGGGGCCTAGGGCACTTCAAGTCAAGACGAAGGGGCCATGAGCATTTTTGTCCTTGGAATCTGGGTAGAAGCCGTAAGCCTTAGGAAGGGATTTTTGCCATACTGTGTCTGTGACGTAGCCCAGGCAAGTTATCTCCATTTTACCAGTGGGAAGAGAAGAAAAGAGATACACCAGCCTAACCATGGCTGAATGGGCCCTGCAGTGTGAAGGGCCCAGAGGCCCTGGGCAGTAGCCATTCCAGTTCCAAAACTGGCAGCTTAGGCAAGTTGTGCGGTCTCTTGGGGCTTGTTTTCTCATCAGTGTAACAAGCCTTCTGGACTGCTGCGCACTAGGGTCCCACCAGGTTTGGGACCCGCAGTGGCCTGGCTCCTCCTCTCAGAAGCTGTCTGTCTGCCTGCAGCTGACTGGCATCTCTGCAGACTCCTCTGCAAGATCGCTCTCATGGGGATACAAGCCCTTGGAACATCCGGGGCACCTGGTGTCCTGGCCCCAACCCCTGCCCTGGCCTCCCATCTCTACCCCCTTCACCATGGCTTCCTCTTACCTCTGTAGGACCTGGCACCTCTCCTGAATCGGGTGTGAGTCTTCTGCCAAGAGACCAGGGAAGAGGGAGGTCAGCATAGGCCGCAAGAAGGCCTCCCATGCCCAGGGGCAGTGGCCATTTCCTGCCTCACCTCTAACCCTTCCTCTCCTCCTATCCTAGCACTGCCCAGGAAACATTTTCTAAGACAGTAGCCACTAATCCCAGGGGCCCAAGGAGGGGTTGAAATGTGGCTAGTGTGACCAACTGAATTTAAATTTTGTTTCATTTTAGTTAATTTAGATTTAAATGGCTGCCTGTGATTACCGGCTGCCACCGCGGACAGTGCCACCGTGGCCAGCCCGGGCCGTCCCCTCTCTACAAGCTTGTGCGAAGGCCTTGCTCCTTTCCTCACACGAGGTATCCCATTGCCCAGCGTTATGGGCAGCTCGCTGGCTCACATGCCTCAAGGTGCGTGAGGCGCCTTTTATAAGTGCTTGATAGGTCCATGCAACACATTATTTTAAAAAAACTCCAAAGGAAGCAGAGGCAGGGGAGTGGGAGTCAGAACTGTTGCTCAGTCAGAGTAAACATCCAGGTTCCGCCGCTGGGACTTGAAACCCAACTATCCTGTCCAGCGGGGAGCATGTCCACACTGGTTCTGGGCTATGCAGGCCTCTGTCTGTTCCTTCGCATCTCTGCTCTTGGACACCTCGCCACCACTGGTGCTTGAAGGACACACTGGGGCAGCCTCACCTCAGGGTACACGAGGGGAGGGACAGGCACCTGGCTGGGCAGGGTGGAGACGGCCCCACAAAGCAGCAGCACACACAGGAGCTCTCGCCTCATTGTCCTCGTGTCCTCAGTGTCCTTCAGCTCTGTGAGAAGAGGACAAAAGAGCATGGGCACGGGGAGAGGAGGGCGAAGAGCACAGCGGAGGTCGAGACTGACACTCTTCACGGCCGGACGCTCCAGGGGCCTGACAGGTGATCGTAGAACCTGCACGTGTACTTCTATCGTAATAAAACACACAGCATAAACGTATCACCTTAGTCATGTCGGAGTGTGCAGTGCAGTGGCATGAAGGACCCTCACATTGTCACGCAGCTGTCACCACCAGCCATCCCTGGGACGTGACTATCCTGAGCCAGGTCTCTGCAGCCCCGGCAACCACCTTCTCCTACTAGTCTCTCCGGCTCTGGCAGCTTACATGTGTAACCCAAGTGGGTGCCTGTAGTGTCTGTGCTTTGGACCTGGTTACTTCGCTGAGCACGGAGCCCCGAGGAGTCCCCATGTCGAAGTGGGGTGGCGGAAAGGTGTCTGCTGTCGAGGCAGGCCTTGCCTTGCTTGTCCACTCTGCTGACGGGTGCTTTGGCTGCTGGATGATCGTCTGCCCAGGATTTCTGTGGGCTGAGGGGCAAGACTATCCCTGGCACTTTTTTGGCATCCCAGGGACCCAGGCCTGGTTTCCTGGAAGAGAATTCCTGCTCTGGGGTTGGCTACATGCAGCCAGACATCCTCTGACTTTTCAGAGGACGCTCAGGGACTTCACAGCGGGCACAGCCAACACCGGCTGCACTCTCAGCCTGCTCGCAGCGCCCAGTCCCACAAAGGACCACTCCCTCCAGACCAGCCCCCTCCCACCGACCTGTCAGAATGCATCCTCTGAATAGACTGTGACTGAGCCAGCAAAATGCAGATTTGCCCAAATAGAAGCAGCATCTGGTTTTTGGTCAGACTCAGCTCTTCCTGGGCCCCACATTCCCAGGTTCCAGCCACCTTTCCCTCAGTGGCTGAAAGCAGGTTAGTTGGTCGGGAGTTGGGCTGTGGTCTGCAGGCTTCTCCCTCGCATCCTTTCTTCCCCCACTCGGTCACAACAGCCGCTCCCACCCTTCCCCCAGCCCGGGCCCAGGCCATCTGCCGCTGTCTGTCTACGAAGAGCACTCCCTTCCGAAGTGGCCCCTGGGCTCTTACAAGGCCAGAAGTGCCCAGGGCCAGGACGCAACTGCAACGGTGGGTGAGGTGGGAGGCAGAGGGAGAGGTGGCCCCGGGCCAGCAGTGGTCGGGCCACACCCATGATTCACCTGGCCAGGGGGCAGAGGGCACTCCGGGGCCGCCTTTCCCTGCCCACCTGGCGCTCAGCTGTGCCACCAGCTCCCCAGTCTCAGGCAGCCCCCTAGGAAAGGAAGTGGCCAGTGGAGGCCATCTAGAACGGGAGCCTAGATGGTGGAATCTTCTGATCACAGCAAGTTTTCCAGATCTTCTCTGCCTCAGCTTTCCTTAAATTTCTCCTTTTCCAAAATTCTGCTTAAATTCCCCTTTGTAATTTTACTCCTTACTTATAACCTTTTAAGACAGGTCTTAAGCTTCCTCACCCTTTTCTCCCTCATGGTTCTCTGTTTTCAGCCAGTCCTAGGTCAGCCTGGGGCAGACAGGGCTCTGCTTATCCGGACCTTTGGAAGGAAGTCTGGATTCACTCATTACAGAAATGAGTAAATGAGCATCAGTGGACAGGGAGCCCCTCTTTTCCAAGGCCGATCAAACCACCCAGCCCTTCTAGTCAGCCCATTCACTACCCCACGGGGCCCTGCAAGTCTTTTCTCTGGACGCCCAGTTACTGCTTCACCGAGAGCTCCAGGTCCGCCTACGTGCAGCACGACTGCAGGTGCTGGCAGCTGAGGAGCACAGTCTTGCCACACTCGAGGGGCTGCCTGCCCTACCCTACCTGAGGGACTGGCTCTTCCTCGGCAATGAGGGCCGGCAAGAGAGGCTGCTGCGCAGATTCACAGACGCGCGCGTTCGGCCCCGCCGCAGAGCCGACAGAACTCGGCTTGGTCCCCTCGTAGGTCCCCTCCATGCTCCGCTGACAGAACTCGGCTTGGTCCCCTCGTAGGTCCCCTCCATGCTCGGGAGGGTTGGAGACTGGCACTTCCCTCCCTCAGCCTCTGACCTTCTGGGCCTGCAGCCCAGCAGCCCGGGCTCCTACGCTACACAGCTGGAGGGCGCACCGCAGAAGTGAGTCATCCTGCCCCAGAAAAACAGGGTCTGAAGACAAGGGAGCGCGTAGGGGGAAAGTGTGTCTTTGTTTGGTCTTTGCTGGTGGCGTGGGCGTGGAGCAAAGCCCTAGACCAAGAACAAAGTGAACAGCGGAACAGGGACTGAAGTGGAGTCACAGCCTCAGAGGGGCCAGGCTGCAGGTGGGTGGCATTGAGGGTTAAGTGTGAAAAGCCCTTCTAGGCTCAGTTCATAAACACGAAGACTCACAACTTTTTCCTCCTGTTCTCTTCCTTTTGCTACACTTAGTTTTCCTAGTGTTATTAAGGAAAAGAAAAGCAAGAAAGAGGAAGGAAGGAGGGAAAGAGGGAGGAAGGGAGGGAGCGGAGAGGCCAGCCGGGGGAGGACTGGCCCTCGTGCTGGAGCCCCTGAGTCCAACAGGAAAAGGGAGGCGTACCATAAGGCCTTCGGTCTCCAAGTCCCCAAAGCTCAGCCCTGGCTGGCCCACCCTAGCACACAAAGTTGATTTTTATAGCTTTGTAAGAGGCACTGTCTCTGGTGAGTAAAGTTCAGCAGACTCAGGGCTTGGCAAATTGACAGATTTCATAAATCTAAAGAAAAAAAACACAAAGCACATGGCCTGGCAGATAAAGCACAGCCTAGATTCCACGGGTGTGTGAGCAGGCACCTTGCAGTCCCCTCCCTGCACAGCCACACTCAGCCAGCCTTGTGTGTTTGTCTCACGGGACAACTCTAACCTTCCTGCTGAGGAGCTATGTACAGTCCCGTCAGAGACAGCAACAGGGCTGTCTGCTGGGTCCTCTGAATAACCTCGCAAAATGACCACTGTGGAGTAAGGAGAAAGAGCTGTGTGGTGAGACACGGGTGATTTTGCTGCCAGCAGCACTCCTGTGAGAGGTGCGGCTCTGGGGAACTGAGGACATCACTCCCCGAAACAGGGTACTCAATGCTGCAGGGTGACGGGCGGGGGCCACCGCTGGGCACCGGGCAGTTCATTAAGATGCTGCAGGGGCCTCGGCCTCCCTCTCCGTCTCCCTAGAACTCTGCTCTCAAGAAGGCAGCTGATAATCTCACACATCCAAGGTGAAGTGGGAAGCATCCATATATGGAAACAGTACAAAGGCAGGGGCCGAGGATGGCGGGGCAGGACCGCTGTTGGAGCGAGTGACACTGTGCGTGCTTTCGGATGGTGACAGTCCCGAAGGGTACAGCTACTCTTGCCCACATGTCCCCCCCATCTGTTTTTTGGTATTGGGGATGGAACCCACGGCCTTTGCACTCAGCTGCATCCACAGCCCTTTTTTAATTTTTTATTTTGAGACAGGGTCTCCTGAAGTTGCTCAGGATGGGCTTGATGTGATGCTCCCGATTTTCAGTAAAGGAACTGTACGAATGCAGTCATCTGCCAATCCATCTTATGATGCCAGGCACACACAAGCCTGTATTCTGGCCAGAAGGAGAGCAGAAACACGAGCAAGCTGAGAGAGGGTGGAAATGGCCGGGGAAGGGCCACAGGGAACCGAGACTGCTGTCAAGTTGTGCATCGTGTGTAAGACTCACTGCACTTGTCTGTGGTAAAGAAGAGCCTTAGGTTACAACTGCCCGGCAGGACCTTTATGGAAGTCTGAGTAAGACAGGGTCCATCTCTGTGCCCAGTTGCCTGGGAAACAGCACACAGTCCCCTCCACTCCCAGCTACTGCAGCCAGATGGAAGCAACAAGCTTGAAAACAATGGATAGAACCAGCAAGAATAAAAACATCTCTGGAACAGGACAAGGTGAGGCAGACCCAGGCCTGGTGGTGTACACCTGTAGTCTCAGCACTCTGGGAGGCTGAGGCAGGAGGGTTGCAGGTTCAAGCTGAGCCTGGGCTATTTAGGGACATAGCAAGATCCTTCTTAAAATGGGGGGGAGAGACAGAGGAGGGGAGGGGAGAGGAGAGGGGGAAAGAGGAAGGAAGGAAGGGCCGGTGAGGCGGGGTCTGAGTGAGTGTGGCCGTGGAAAGGCTGCAAGTGTGCCCCGTAGCTCACTTTTGTCAGAGCAGCGTGTGCCCTGCAGCTGGCTCCACATGGGCAGATCCTGCCCTCTTGGAATCCCAACCGCCATCATCTCAAGGACTCTTAATCCTTCGCAAAGTGTTCCTCCCTCGCCCAACTCCTCATCTTCTCTCCAACAGGACCCTTCACAAGGGGCAGAGAGGAGCAGGTTGGTTTCTTGATCTAATTTGACCAAGTCCAGTGAGCTGAGTAGAACAGAACCCCGCACCCCCATGGCTCCCACCGTACGGGATTCTTCCCAAAGCATCTGCGAAACACGGGCACAACCTGCTGCTGTAAGTGAGATGAAATCAGCCTTCCGACTACCCACCCCTAGTGTGTGTTGTCCTCTTCTCCAAGGTCCACTTCTGCGGGGGACAAAGTAACAAAGAGTTGGTTGTGGGGTGACTAGGAAAGAGTCTCTCCTGCCTCCTGCCAGGATAAAGACAAAAGAAGCCCTTTCTCAATAAACTGAAGAAAAACAAGGTTCAACTTGCAAACGCCAACTCAACTAAAGCGATGAAGCGCGTACTCCAAGGCTGGCTCTAAACAAACCTGAGTCCAGCGTTACTCTCCAGGGAAATCCTGCTGAGCAGATGCCCGCGGCTCATTTCCGTTCCACTTCCTGGAACGGCCATCACCACAGGGCAAGGCAAGTTGCAATCAAGAGACAGTTCTCCAGGCCTCTCACACCCTTGAATCAGGAAGTAATGACTAGACGCTTTCATGACAGCATTACAGGGATTTACTGCATTTTACCGGCCCAGTGGGAAAGTAACGTGTCCTGTATGAGACATGGGCCTGGGTCAGTGCCACTCACTTCAGGTTTTGGAGCCCCCACTGCTGGCCTGGCACTGAATCATACCGCCCTTTAGAGCCTTATCGCTCAGGTGTTGTTCCCTGGTTTGTGCAGATGCCAGACCCGAGCTTCGCCAAAGTGAACTCCCTGGAGGACATAGCATGGGGCCTCAAACCCAGGATTCTGAGTTCTTCGAGTCAAAATCCAACTCTCTTTCTATTTCTTACTGTCCCTGAAACACTATCCACTGTCTTGTGACTTTTTGTTTGTTTTTTTTTTTTTTTT